CGCCCCTCCCCCGGTCTCCATCCCGACCCGGCCGAGGGCAGGCAGGCTTGCGGATCGCGATCCCAGCCACCCCGGCGAAGGCTGCCAGACAGTACCTGATCAGACATGGTGATGGCGGCTTCCCCCAGGTCTCCGCACCGCAGCGGCCTCGGGGTAGCAAGACCTCGCTCACTCCGGCGTTTACAATCCCGTCTTACAGTTCCACAGCACAACACCGCGGCGGCAGGGACTTCCGCTACGCCTCACGTCACCTCCGCAGCGCGCGGGGCGGAGGGAGGGCAATGCACCCAGAGGGGAGGCGGCGTGGGAGGCGGGGGCAGGCAAAGTAGGAGCGGAACAACGAGACTGCGCGGTGTGAGGGCGCTAGGGCGCTCGGAGTGCCCTAAAGTGGCCATCGGTGGCACCCGCAAACCAGTTGCTCTAGATAGAACAGGCCAGGATCTAGACCCAGCCTGCCAGAGTAGTCTGGCCCCATGGTGTGCGGATACTTGCTGGCTTCCTGGCCTCCTCTCTCCAACATCCTAGGGATTTCTGAAAGTCAGCCAAAGTACTTCTTTGTTTCCTGTCGATCTGGATCTCTTCCTGTGTCCAACGTTAGTCTTACTGCGCTACAGCTAACATTTCGGGTAACTGCCCCCTCCAGGTTATGACATGGATACAACCACAACAGAAAACATCATCGCAGTGTTGATGGCTACCTACAGAAGGTGCTGTTGAAAGTTAAGAATTTGTGGGGAGGAGGAGCTAACCAACCCTGAAATTGTTATTTGGATTAAAGAATGATCTCGCTAAGGTTTTTTTAGTGAAGGAGGACTTAAAGAAAAACAAGTTTTTCCCAGCCTTAGGCAGTCCTCTCCTCAGATCAGCCCCACCAGCACCACCTTCTCGCTTATAGCTGTAACTCCTTGTTCTGATACAGTTAAAATTGACAACTATGTCCTGTAAACAAAGTTTATGACACTCTATTTTGATCTGATTCATAGGAATCTGTCTTCTTTCAAGGCTATATTACAAAACTGCCCACTCTTGTCCCGTTTCTATAAGCTCGCTTAAGTCATTGAGAGGACTTGACCAAATGTCTAAAAACTAAAACTTTTCTTTGTCCAATGCTCTTCCATTGAGCTGGTGTTCACCTAAATAAAGTCCTCTTCTTTCCCATTGCTCTCTCCTGTCTCGGATTCTGCTGTATTTCTGATGACCACAAAAGGACTGGAGATGACAAATTTGCCGTCTCTTTTGCCTGCAGACCGCAGGAGGGCCCCCAACTGCTCAAGTGCTGGGACCTCTGGCCTCACTGGGTGAGGAAGTCAGTCCTCCCACAGCTGGGCAGCCTTCCCCACTGCCAGCACAATGGAACCTGAGGGGATTCAGGATGATTCTGAAACAGGATCTAGAATTCTAGGATTCTGGAACAGTGTGCCACAGGACCTCGGTAGGTTTGGGGGCCCACGGGAAAGCCCTTCCTGTTAGGACAGAAGTGGAAACTGGGTGTACCAAGTAATCCAACTCAGAGGGCATCCCAGGAAACCAACCTAAAGTGTGGGGGGTGTGCACACCAGCAGTAAGAATTACTCTCTAACAACTCTCAGGAGAGGCCCACAATGAGACTGGCTTGTAAATGACTCTTTAAGAACTGGTGGCAGAGGACCACAACAAGAGTGGATTGTAAAGGGAATGTGCCAAACAGGCAGACTCAGGAAAATTGGATGAAACCCATACCCAGGTGTACCAAGTAGGCAGACTGGAAGGGAATTGGATGAAACCTACTCCCAGGTTAGAAAAAACTGGAATAGAGAAATGCATGAGTGCATATAAATAAATGGAGTGGAAAAAAAAAACTGGGAAAATGCCAGAAAGCATGGAGCGAGACAGTGGAAAAGGATGCTCCTGGCTTTGGGAACCCCAAGGCCAATACTCCTGGCATTGCCTTGGGCATCTGAAAGCTGGAACAGCCCCAGCCTGGGGCTGAATGGCCAAAATTGAAAAGCTGAGACCCCTGCCAGGCACAAAGAGGTTTTACAGGAAAAAAATCACATTACAAATTTAGCTAATTGATAAATGTACTTTTGGTTTCCAATTTGAATTGATGCTTTTTTTAACTGGTGTGCTTAAAGCATTTCTTGTTTGTGGATTTCTTTGTTTTTTGTTTTTGGAGGGTTTGTTTTGTTTTGGTACTGAAAATCAAACTCAGGACCTTGTGCTTGCAATACCACTGATCTAAATACTCAGCCCTTAAAGCATTTCTTATGCATTGCAAATCCTTGAATTGTGAGTACAGGGCTAAATTGCCCTTTTCTCTGCTGTTGGTTTAAGATAAGAACAGGACTCAAGGTTATTAGAGGTCTGTTGGCAGCCAGTCAAATTTATTTTGGTTTTGGGGGTTTTGTCTTTGTTTTTGTTTTTTTGGGGGGGTTTGAGACAGGGTCTCCCTATGTAGTTGAGACTGACCTGGAACTCACTATGTAGCCCAGGCTGGTCTTGAACTCACAGCGATCCTCCTGCCTCAGCCTCCTGAGTGCTGAGATTACAGGCATGCGCCACCCCCCCACCT